ATTAATAACAATAATGACAGTTTTATTTTATTTTTCAAAATTGCTCGATTAGCGTCGTTGAGAAAAGCTAGTATAATTCGAAGATATCTTTCCTACTGAATGTTGTTAAGGATTTATTCTTCCTTACGAACTATATGTGTTTCTTTCGTTCTTCTTGATAATTAAAAATTGTTCGTTCTTTAGTTTCTTTTCATCTAGCTACTTTACGTTCGTTTTTGTTCTCTCACGGTCAATAAACATTGATATTGACCTTGAACTTTTTATTTCTTATTACGTATTAATATTTGCATTACATAATAACATTTCTATAGCATATTTTGTAATACATGATACTGTTATGGTTACATATACATATACATATATTGTCTTTTTTTCGTATATCTAGTTATCGTCGTATTCTCTTCCTTTTGATTCTTTGATTCTTTCATTATTGGAATAAAGATTGAACTCACGTTCAAACAAAACAAAACTTACAAATACCTGATCAGTTAACCAAACTGCTCGTAATGATCATCGAGTGTTGTGCTACATTTTAGAAACCATCTTTGAGTAGACAGCGGCCATGTTTTGACTTCTAGATGAACACTTTCTAAAAAAAAAGGCTTACTACCCAACCTTAAAAGTTCTGCATTTTTGCAGCGAAACATTTTAAGTCCGGTGAGGCGCTGACCGTTTCGTGACTCTTGTTCAGCACTTTTTTAAGTTCAGCAGACTTCACATGGTGTCGCAATTTTGAGACGAAACTCTTTGTAAGCTGCGTAAAGTAGCATGCTGTTTCGTACGTCATGTACCAATCCTCTGATAGTTTCGTAAAATATTACAAGATTTTTGTTAGCTCGTTTCGATGACGGTGTGGGTGTGGGTGCGGCATGTGGATGTGGATGAAGACAAGATTGGCACCCACATCAACACATTCACATCCACACACCCGCATCCACACTCACTAACACCCTACACCCACACCGACAGCAACACATGCATATCCACACCCACATCAGCACGTTAAAAGCTATAGCTTAAGGACTTTAAGAGACTTTATTGGACTTCAAAAGACTTCATGAGACTTCATTAGACTTCACGAGACCTCATAAGACTTCACGAGACTTCGAAAGACTTCAAAAGACTTCTGAGACTTCAAGACCGAAGTCTCCGCTGTTTTTCCCTCGCAACTGATACAGGATAAAATTGAACAGTTAAACCAAAATGACGCAGTTGAAAAACTGAAAGAAGAGGAACAACAACAGCGAACTTGTGAAGAATTAATTCAACTGGAACAATAGGAACGTATCGCTTTTTTAATTCAACAATTAAACGAGAACTAAACATCTTTTCCATGTTATAGACTTTGTCATTCATTCATTATCCCTAATATATCTAAACATTTATCATATATTTGATCCTTGATCTACTAACTATCCAGACGGCACTTCTCAAATTTCCCTTATTTTTTACACAACAGTAAGACCGAAACGGATAGCACTTCCCATATATTAATAATACTCAGTCATTCTCATCCTCAAGAAAGTCATAAAATCTTTTATAAAATACGATTAGACATTCGACCATTGAATTGCACTTGATACATTCAAACTAATATCAACAGACGACCGTGAGCTTCTTCTGATTTGCTCTGACTGTATTATCTGTTTTAAAATCATCTAACGGAAAATTCGTGTAACGCAAATGTCACAAATTAAAACGTACATATTCATTCACCATTTTCTTCCTCATACTTCCAAAACAATATATAAGCAAGCTGCAGATATTCTTTACCATTCACTTCAGAGAGAAAAAAATATGTAGAAACGCAAAACTACCCGATGAGACTCTTGAGCAAGATCGAAACCGGCGGTAGTAACTAAACCACATCTTTAACTCACTCTCAACTAGGTATATATGCGATATTTAAGTTACCTGAAGAGATCCTTAAGCAAGGTCGAAACTAGTCATGGTTGCTAAAATATATCTCTAACTCACCCTCACCCTTTACCATGAAATAGATAATAGATATGTATGATTCGATTTTTATGCAATAGGGACTCAGCTAACAATATATGAAAGATATTTAACTATATAATGACACTTTACAAAATAGCATAATAGTGTCGCAGTCAACACATTTTTCTTTCTTCCGTCGCTCCTTCGTTCTCTGTAGAGTGTTTTTCTCGGACGGTCATTATTTACCAACAATAACGTCGCGTATATCATCCACCAAAGTATACAGAACACTGCAACAATATAAAGAAAGAACTCGTTCTTTTATTTTTTTTTGCCTCGACAGTTTCTCATTCTTCTCGTAATACAAAAATAAAAAAGCACAGCGCAACACAACAAACGAACGCAGTTATCAACAACACACTTTGCCGTCCATATATTTATAACTTCTTGAAGATAAACATGGCTTTCCCCTTTACAATATTCCTGATTGAGCCAGAATCTCAATCAATTCTGTTTTTCTTGGTAGATACTCTGATACTCATTTATATTTTGATCTTTGTCGTCACATGGCCTTATACATTATTTTACTTAATTGTCCATCTTGCCATCTTTTTTGTTATTAATAAACGCTTGTCAGCTGGTCGTTTATATATACCAACGAAGAATTTAAATAGACAAACTGTCGTTGTTACAGGTGCAGCTACAGGTATAGGATGGGCCACTGCTCTTCAATTGGCTAAGCTTCAAGCACGTGTTATCGTTGGTATACGTGGTCAAGAAAGAGCTGAACGTGTAGCTCAAGAATTAAGCAAAGAATCACATGGAAATGTTATTGGTTATCATTTAGATCTAAGTGATTTATCAAGTGTCAAGAAATTTGCTGAAAAGATTGACAAACTTGATATTTTAATCAATAATGCAGGAGTAGCAAAACAAAATAAAGAATTGACTAAAGATGGCTTAGAAAGTACTTTTGGAACAAATCACAGTAAGTCGTATTTCTACAGTTATTTATCGTTTATCTATCATCTTTATTGAGTCGGTCATTTCTATCTAACTCAACTTCTTCTTCCTTTACTTATTCAATCAAATGGACGAATTGTCAATGTAAGCAGTATCTCCCACATCTTTACTAGTGAAAATGTCGATTTCTCAAAAAATAATTCGTACAACGTTTATACAGCGTATGCTGAATCAAAATTAGCCAATATCCTGCATGTTGTCGAACTGCAAAGACGATATGGAGATAGAGGCATCAAGGCTTACTCACTACATCCTGGTGCCATCTCTTCGACTGAAATAGGTCGCGAGAGAAAGCCGATACAAGCGTTCTTAAAGGCTCCGACTGCTATTTTCTCGAGAACAATCGGTCAAGGAGCAATGACAACTCTTTATTGTGCTTTGTCTGATGACGCTCAACCTGGAAAGTATCATTCTAATTGTCGGATAGCTCAACCTAGTCCGCTTGCCTACAATTCAAAAAAGGCTCAAGAACTATGGGAATTGAGTGAACAAATCATAAATACACAAACAAAATATCTTTAATTTTTTTTATAATTTTTTTATAGTATAAGTTTTCTCTACTAATTTATAGGCATATTTCTGTAATGCGAGTAGAGGTGCATCAGAAGAACGTAAGATTTTAATATAATGTATACGCAATAAATTCTGGCGGTTTACACCGATGTTACAATAAATGATAAAATGAAAACAGCTGTTTGTTCTTATTTTTATTACAATATAAATCTCATACTTTAATATTGTTAATATTTATAGTTTAAATCGTTTGTAAAATGAAAATAAAATTGAAATCTATTATCTAATGACCGTGCTTGATTATATAGAAAACTGTTTCTACATGCGTTATTAAACAAAATCTACACAGAATACATATCCGAATCAGTATGAAAGGCAATATTTTGTTACATTTATCAAGAACTGCTGAACCACAGATGTCTTTTGCTGTTCATTATTTTTCCAAGGATCGTGTTGGATAAGGTGATTATATCTCAATTGAGAAATCAAATATACTATCGTGTAGAGCTTTTCAGGGCGCATCGAGTGGTATATAGGAAATCCATTTTTCAACAAGTTTAGAAGGAGTTAGATCGAGTTTATTGATCAGGGGGTAGGGTCCCAAATGGTAGTAAATAGGTACTCAATGTTGATCCACATTGTTAGTCGATGAACTTCGTGAAAAGTATTTCCTATATACAGTTGTCTAGAGGTTTAGATCAGCTACAAGTTGATATATTTCACATCTTCAATTACCTATTATTAGAGGAAAAAAAATCGGGATTACTTATCAGGTTGACAGTGTTTTTAATACTGGTTCATAATTTTAGATTTCATTATATTGAATCTTGCTAATCTCAGAAGATGTGACCGCTTGTCAAATTTTTCCAGAAATTGCGCCTTAGATGGGGCTACAAAATGCACCATTTGGGTGTGGGTGTGGATGTGATGAGAAGACTTACATCGGCACCCACACCCCAGAAACGAAAGAGAAAAAAAGAAAATTTCTTAAGACTATGACGAAAAAAATACGTAATTCTTTCTTTTCTGTACGACATTATGTGTAGCATGCAGTGCGGACAGCACGATATGTGTTATTCTGTAATTTCGTACAGAAGGAAAGAAAAATGACGTATTTCTTTCGTTCATAGTCGTAATAAATTTTCTTTTTTTCTCTTTCGTTTGTAACGTAAGAGTTTCGGTCTATCACTACAAAAAAAAGTGATAGTAATGCTATCGAAATAGCTTTTTCTACTCTAATATATTAATAGCCTTTTATTTTCGTAATATATAAGAGAAGGTAAACAAATTATAGGGTTATATAGCTCAGATACTGTTGTCCTTGCAACTATCAAAGTCAGCTATGCTTAGATAACATAAAGTGTTCTATGACTTATAGTTATTTCATTGATTCAAGTAGCATCAAAGTGCATTAATTCGATGGTTGTCGAGATTTAAAACTTTTTCAGTACTGTCTAGAAATACAACGAGATACTTTAGACAAAAAAAAGCATCTGAAAAACCATTTCTTCCATTAGAATTGATTAAATATCAGAAAGAGTCGGCAAAAATACAGAAAAGATATGTTTGGAAATATAAGACCGATTAGCGAGATATATTTGCTATCACTTCGACCAAAGTCTATCAGAGTTGCCTTTTTCATAAGTATCACCATCAAGGGTAGATATTGATAGAGGGTGTGGGTTGGTGGATGTGGGTGTGGGTGAGTTGGTGTGGGTGTAGGTAGGAGTATTGATGAAAGGAAAGCCCACACCCATACCCTTATTCGACATTCATCAACACTTTTCAACTCAATTCAGGAAATTGGACAAAAATTCATGGCAGAAGATGTCATGGTGCAAATTAAAGAATTAGTGAAAGAACTGATTAATATTCGAAGAAATTCAAATGTCGTAAGTATTTCTTTTTTCTTTAATCAAAACCTATGTATTTTTCTTTTTTCCAGGTTAGTATAGGTTATAAATCCAAATGATCCTGATGAAATACCATTTGGTACATTTTTTTCTAGTTAAATAGATTATTTTCTGACACATGTATGAAAACGTTTTTAAATAAAAATTATGGTCTTGTCTGATAGTTGAACTCATCTATTCATAATCGATTTCATGATGCAATAAAGTAGTTATGAAGCTGGGACTGGCACGGTTTTTTGTTTTTTTTCTTTCATAATCGTTGTTCATCTTCAACTCACTAATTTCTCTAATAATTTTACAATAAGATTGATTTTGTTTAACTTAAATTAGTTTGATAGATTACACTCTTTCTTATATCATGAAAGATAAGTAATGATTGACTTCAATTGACCAAAATAATCATTGAATTTCGTCTTATCACATCATGATTTTGATGATAACTTGTTAAAATAAGTAATGAATTACATTATCGATGTGATTCTTTTCTAGGATCAGGATGGTGTGGGTGTGGATGTCGGTGTGGGAAGAGAAGAGATCAGCACCCGTACCCACACCCGTACCCACACCCTACTGCGGAAATGCTCGATTCAGTCATGGGCCATCTCTTAAAAATTAAATGAAATTTTAAAAAATTTAATTTACTTAAAAATAATTTTATTTATGTTCGCAAATGAGAGCTAACCATGAAAAAATAAATAAATGAAGTCACGGTATAACGCACATTTTTTTCCTATCATCGATTGATTCTCTCGCTTCGTTAATTAAACTATGTAATCGATAAGTGAGAGAACAAGCAAAAGGATGCGGTTGTATTTATGAAAAAAATCAGTGTATCTGAATAATAAATATATGATCATGCTTTAACTCACATATACGGATGAGTGCATTCAAGCGAAACTTTTTCGATACGCACATAAGCAAAATAATGCTTTAATTTTCTTTATTAAACAATGTCGATACATTACCAAAGTATTCTACTCGTCGTTACAACTTATATATCGCATCAATACAAGAAGCAAACGTAAGTCTTTTGAAATTGCAGTATCTTTCTAAAGCCTTTTTAATCGATCAATATTCAGAATATTTTTCTATCCTTGAGTAATGTCAGTAACGAGGGAATGCTCTCTTTACATTCATATTATACCCATGCATAAAAAACTATCAGATTAGAATAATCATCAAAGGATTTGTGCTCATATTGAAATTCATGCGAAACTTCTAGTTTTAGTGAATTTCTCCTATAGGAAGTTAGTTTTCGACTAAAATCATATCTCAAATTTTGCTTGAAACCTTTATCAACATTAAAACTTGCTACGACTTGCTCATATATTAAGTTTCAACATAACTAAAGTTAGTATTAGATGCAAGTAATTCCTACTCTGAAAAAAAAAAGATATTTGCAAAAATTTCCAGTTTTCTGCAAAGTGCAGAGTTTTACCCGATAGCAGAACTCCCGAAAAAAAGGTACGGGGCAAAACAATCGCTTACGAGAGGAATTCAAAATTATTTTTTCTTGTACGGAATTCTTTTTTTACAAGTTCTGCTATCGGGTAAAACTCAGAACCTTTTAGGCTTCTAAATGGTTCTACAAACCTCCTCGCTAAATCAAATGATGTAATCGAATTGACGATGTATTGAACCATGCGATGACGAGTTGAAAAGTACTGACTATTCTCTATGAGTGCTAGGGAGCCCGAGGAATAACACATGCCCTTATTGACCCGGAAAGTGTTCCACGCGTTCTCATTTGCATTACACGTAGGATTTCACACATTTCAGACTATGGAGAACTTCAGAAGTTCTCTCAACAATCATTCGCTCACGACTTGTTTCACGTCTTTGTCTCTGTGTTGCTAAAAAAAGAGCACGTACAACTCTCCTTGAAGCACAAGCAAGAACACCTACAGCAGGATCTACTACTATGATTCTACATGATTCATCGCGTAACATCCGTTTCTTGCGACTTCAGGACGAATGATTTGATAAATCGTCAATGGATTGTAACCATTCGATAGAGCACATCAAATTCTAGTCGAAATACAAATGAGAAAAATTAGAACGCTTTCTGAACAAATATAGGCAGGAATTGCTCAACTTTGACCCTAACATCACCAACATTTAGTCTCATCATTCTTGAAAATTATGTCACTGGCATATAAAAATTTCAAAACGTCAGTACTACAGATTGTATGTATCCATAGAAGTAGCTTTATTCGAAAAATTTGCATATCTAAGATGAAATGTCTAAATATGATAAAACTATATATGTGAGTTATTCATATCAAGACCTTTATGTCGACAAAGCTTTACATCCTAATTCGAAATACGATTTTACTCAAAATCTAAAATCGTATAGAAAAACTCAGTAAAAATCATAAATTTCATTAAGAGCATGAGCTCTTTGGCGATTATTCTATTCTAATGGTTTCCCACATATGAGCATAATATGAATGTAAACAGAACAGACTGCTCAAAAATGTTACCTCGTAAGCTTATGTAGTATTTTTTTGTATCATAGTTATTTTTTCCTATTAAAAAAAATCTCGTAAAATTCTGTATGAAATGAATAGCAGCCATTAAGTATCGTATTGCTACTCTTCTCAGCTAGCGCCCTCAGTAAGAATTATTATTACGTTTTGTTAGCTCCAACGTAGGAAACCTCTATTCAGAAATGTATTCTTTCAGCGTTCGAAAAAGATTCGCCTAGATAGAAATAATACATGATAACGTGCTGAAAAAAGTGTTCAAGGAAATTTCAATGGAAGGATTCTCTTGAACCGAGTTTTAGAGAGGGATGTGCCAATATCCACAACACTCCAGTCGGTAGACCTTGGAAAAACCTATTGCTCCTAATACAATAGTCTCCAAATTCTGTGATGAAGATGAAAATTGCAAAAGATTCGTCACAAAAAGAAAACGAATACATACGTTTGACAAAAGGACGATTTTATTGAAATTCTGTTGTATATTTCGTGGGCACGCCCAATCATCTCATAGCTGAAAAGCAGTTTCATTTTCTTATTCCTTCATAGCACGTTCATAGCACTAGAAAATAACAATGTCCCAGCATAAATAATTCTCTAACTTCTCGCTCGATATCTCTTTGAGTTTTCATAATGTCAAACCAGATAGACACACTAAACAAACTTGTTTGTTCAGCTTTTAAAGGTGTAATTTTCGAGTGTGAAAAAATGTTTGTTTTCACGAATTTTCGAGCATATTTCTGTTTTTCATCGTATTTTGAAACTTGTGAAACATGTAGACAACTAATTCTAGACTTTTTTCTAGAGCAAGGTTTGATTTGTGCCAACATCACTAAATTATACTATGCAAGGCTAGATGCATTCTGAAATAGTGATACTTCGGATAATCTATGTGGGGAATAAGTAAAATAAACTATGGAAGACGAGGGATGATTTTTTGAAAAATAAATGCTCATCGTAGAATACTTGTCAAGATCTGAAAACACTTTGAAAGTTATTAAAGACAGATTCTCGTAGTATGATTATGACAAGTTTTTGGTTTTATATGTGAGCTAACGATTTTGTAAGACTTTGTAGGAAATTCAATGCTAAATTCTTTTGGAGAAAACCCATTTCCATACAATATGGACTGAAAGAAACATGTATAAGCACCAAATTTGAGTCATAACGAGTTTCAGCGAAACGAAACATATATCACTTGCCAGTAACATACTCGCTCTAGGAAGTAATATTAAAACTTCGTTGAAAGAACAAACACAGACCAGTTAATCCACACAAAGGAGCCTCTTTTCAATACTACTAAGATTCACATTGTTCATTGACTTTTCTGTTATATGCAACCCTCTAAATAAAATCCTGTACGTTTTCATGCGAGACCGTTAACGAGTACAATCCAGATTCTTCATAAATCCGCTATTTTTTTAAAGGAAATGACTAAATCTAGCAAGAAGCATATAGTTATGCAATTTCAAGATTCTAAAAGGATTTCAAATGCAATCTATCATGACTGTGACTAGTTTTACACTATCGTTAGATCAGGAATTCGCCATGATATCAGTGATTCTGACTCAAAAAAATTTCGGTTTACTTACTGCCACATTTAACTAGATTTCCAAAGGAATGTTACCACTTTCGGAACAGGATCTTTGCAAAGTTATGCTGGGTTTCTTTGAGAATGCTTTCCAATATTTTGACAGAACCCTTACAAAGTTTTCTAAACAGAATAGAAACAAGTGAATACATGAATTATTAATCTCTAGACCTCCAGTATGCATACTAGTTAGCTAATCTGTCTTTATTGTTTCACATTATCGAACGTAACTTCAATATTTAGTACCTAAAGAGAGAGTTTGCGAGAGGGCTACCCTACTTTATCGAAGACCGTCGAGGAAAAAATTTTTTTTTGCATTTTATTATTTCAAATAAAACGGCTAGTGAAACTATAATCAAATCCAAAATATCAAACCATTCGGCTGTACCTATGAAAAATACGAGCTGAAACAAGTGTAATGGGGTCAATTTTGGCCCCTAAAAACGATAAAAATATGGTGTACCCAGTATGTTAACATTTTCTGACGAATGATTTGACCGTTTGAGGTCGAGGACATTTCATTAGATAGATTACAGTATAGACTATAAATTTATTCTATACATGTAATTCACGTGTAGGATAACAGAAATACTATAGGTCAAAAACTTCGCAAACTTCAAGAAATATCGTTTCCCGGGATAACGGTATTTTGGACTTTTCTTGAGTAGTGCAAGAAGTACTAGACTTCTTTTTTTATCAAAGAAAGGTCCTATCAAGACACATCTATTGACATTAAATTGTCTAATGTAAAAGACTCGAGAGCCCAATTAGTATAGACCACACTGTGGGCCACCCTACCTAGTCACCCTTGACCTTACTTCGAGAAGTCATACAATTTTTTCAGAAACCAGAGAAACCTACTTCAGATTTGTCTTCAGCTCACAAAATTGAGTTGGATAGGTTATTCTAAATTGATCTTTTACTTATACCAGGCTTATTTCAGATCATGAGTCTACCCATAGATATATGATCTATATATGATAGG